GCTTTTGATGTCGTTTACGCAAGCAAGCAAGTCAGATAAGGACTTTGACCCAGGTTTAATTGACATATACAACTGGGTATCATCCGCATAAATATGATATGGGACCTTGTGAGACTCAAAAATGTAACGAAGAGGGAGCATATATAAAGCAAACAAAATCGGGCCCAAGATGGAGCCCTGCGGCACCCCACCAGTAACAGAGGTAGGTGATGAATGAGACTGACCTATCTCCACAGAGAAACTCCTCGCAGTAAAATATGATTCAAACCAATCTAAGGCCGAATCACAAATACCAACCTCAGTTTTTAACCTGTTTAAAAGTTCTACTGTATCGAACGCCGCACTTAAATCCAACAGTACCAAAACTGCACAATTTCCAGAATCCACAAATAATAACAAGTCGTTTACCACTCTTAACAAGGCCGATTCAGTGCTATGCTTAGATCTAAAACCAGACTGAAAAGGATCCAATATATTATTTTCAATTAAGTAAGGTGATAACTGATTTAAAACAGCTTTCTCCAATACTTTTGATAAGAATGGCAATTTCGAAATAGGTCTATAGTTGTTAAAATCAGCAGGATCCAGATTTGGTTTCTTTAGCAGCGGATGAACCACTGCATGTTTAAAACAGGATGGAACTGAACTTGTCTGTAAGGAATTGTTGATAACGGAAATAATATTTGGTGCAACTACGTCCAACACTTACTTTAGTAGCGTAGTTGGTAAAACGTCAAGAGAGCAAGTGGTCGATCTTAAACTGGACACTATGTTCAACAACTCAGAGTGCGAGATAGGATGGAAAAGTGAAAATTTATAGATTTATCAGCTCACATCCATTCCAGGCAAGTTAACGCACAGTCAGAGACGCTGGGGGACGTGTGCTGTGTAACACAGATCCACAGGCCTCTACATCCTGTAAAGAGATCAATAAACACGCTTATGTACTCAATCCGTTTTCAACGCCAGAAATTGCATTTGGGTTTTCTGCCTTCGTTATTTTTAGCTGTTAGACACTGACAGAGCATTTTGGTAGTCTGCTTGTGTGCTGTGTTACAGAGGATTCATTCTGGCCCTTATAGCCTCAGCAGACATCTTTGAACAAGAACAAATTCAACTGCAGGCAACCACACTATCTGCCGGAACATTCCAGCATCCCAAACACACACGCAATTCTGTTTTCAGTTCACTTGCTCGCTCTATCTCCCTCCCTTTCTCCCTTTTCCTCTCAAGTGCACACTTGAATTAAAGAAGACACAAGTATGAGGAAAACTGTGATTGGACGAGAGGGAGGGGGGCTTTCTTTTTATCAAAATTGCCCTCAAAATGTTCTCCCATCGGTTTGGATGTGCCATGACCTGCAATTGTACAATAAATAAATGAACTGGTTATGTGGGACAGAAAAATCCAATCTAGCCGACCTGTTGAAGCTAAGCACAGACGGCGAGCGGGAGGCTTTTATCATATAAATGACCCTGACAGTTTCATCAGCTAAAGAGGGATTACGCCACATGTATGGCAATCCTATACAGAGTGATAAAAGCTTGTTAAAAAGTCTTCCGTTCAATAGACGCTGCATTTTATCTTAAGGAATTTCACAGTGCTCAGAAATGAGCCGCGTGGATTTTTTTCTCCCACATTCATCACAGACCTGTAGAGGAGGAGGTCAAAGAAAATACTGACTTTATAGATTTGCTTGAGCATCATTCATCTGAATGTGCCTGTGAAGCTTAGCATCAGCTGCTGCTATGGTTATGAGAAGAAGAGTAAAGGAAATGCACGTTTCACCGGTGTGGGTATCACGTCCAGTGCTGAGCCTGCGCCAGCATAACACCATATTGTCCTTACACCCTCCAGCTAGGATATTCCACATCTCTTTCACATCTCTAAATAATTATGTGAATGAGGATCACATAAATAATAATAAAAAAGCAAAATGTGCAGTGTATGTGCCAGTTAAAGGGGACATACTTAAGTTTAGAAGCGCAAAAAATTAATTACTAATAATTGGGAATACATTATGGGATATTGGGATATATATTTCAACCTATTTATTTTCAGTTTTATGTGGATGAGTGGAAAAAAGGGGGGAAATATGTTAGAGAATCATAAAACAACAATAATAAAAACATATAATAAATAATAATATCAGTAAATAACAATATCAAAACACGCAAACACCCACACACACACACTCTCTTAAAGACGAATGTGTGTAAGAGAATTAATAAAAATTAATAATTGCAAAAGACGCTGCATTTTATCTTAAGGAATTTCACAGTGCTCAGAAATGAGCCGCGTGGATTTTTTTCTCCCACATTCATCACAGACCTGTAGAGGAGGAGGTCAAAGAAAATACTGACTTTATAGATTTGCTTGAGCATCATTCATCTGAATGTGCCTGTGAAGCTTAGCATCAGCTGCTGCTATGGTTATGAGAAGAAGAGTAAAGGAAATGCACGTTTCACCGGTGTGGGTATCACGTCCAGTGCTGAGCCTGCGCCAGCATAACACCATATTGTCCTTACACCCTCCAGCTAGGATATTCCACATCTCTTTCACATCTCTAAATAATTATGTGAATGAGGATCACATAAATAATAATAAAAAAGCAAAATGTGCAGTGTATGTGCCAGTTAAAGGGGACATACTTAAGTTTAGAAGCGCAAAAAATTAATTACTAATAATTGGGAATACATTATGGGATATTGGGATATATATTTCAACCTATTTATTTTCAGTTTTATGTGGATGAGTGGAAAAAAGGGGGGAAATATGTTAGAGGATCATAAAACAACAATAATAAAAACATATAATAAATAATAATATCAGTAAATAACAATATCAAAACACGCAAACACCCACACACACACACTCTCTTAAAGACGAATGTGTGTAAGAGAATTAATAAAAATTAATAATTGCAAAAAATATTTCCAAGTACTGTCAGTTTCCACTTTCCCTTTTTTTACAACTTTAAAATGTCATTTAAAGGAAGAATGTGTAATAGGATCACAAAAAAAAACATATATAATGTTTTAAATTAAACATTTTCAGCTTTTCTTTTTTTTTAAAGCTGGAAATGTTCATCATTTCTCCTCCTGTCTCTCACAGGGCAGCATTTGCCAAGGAGTCTGAGGTGTTGACGGGGAATCTGGGTGATAAGCTGATTCCTCAGAATGAGATTCTGAGGGACGTCAGTGATCTGAAGTCTCTCGCTAACCTGCAGGAGAGCATGGAGTGGCTCGCCACCCGCCTCAGGGGCTTCTTCAGCAACCTACCCCTTAGCTCCAGTGAGTGAGTGTGTGTGTTTATGTGTTTGGCTGGAGGTTTGTTCAGCTGTAAAAGTGCGTGTCACAATGTATTTTGAGTCAAAAAGTTAGCTATTTTTTTCTTTACAAATATATTATCATAAAACTTTTTGACAAGTGATAAGTTGAATTGAAAAATTAACTTGATTTTGAGTATCTGGTATTTGGTATGTGCACTTTTTAATACTAATAATAAGATTTAATAATAATAACATATTTTTAATTAATTTTAAGTAGTAAGGTTTTTCTTTAATCCTTGAGCAGACTGTGTTTCCAGTTACAAATTTATTAATTTTTATTTATTTATTTTTTATTATTTAAAAAGTTATATTGAATTATATTTTAAAATTAAAATTTTTGTTTATTTTTTTTATTTTAATTAATTGAAATTGAGTATCTGGTATTTGGTATGTGCACTTTTTAATACTAATAATAAGATTTAATAATAATAACATATTTTTAATTAATTTTAAGTAGTAAGGTTTTTCTTTAATCCTTGAGCTGACTGTGTTTCCAGTTACAAATTTATTAATTTTTATTTATTTATTTTTTATTATTTAAAAAGTTATATTGAATTATATTTTAAAATTAAAATTTTTGTTTATTTTTTTTATTTTAATTAATTGAAATAAGTATATTAAATTGAATTTTTAAATAGTTTTTGTTCATTACATTTTAATTAATTTAAATAATTATATTAAATTAGATTTTAAAATAATATTTTTTTATTAATTTTAAGTCGAATATGAAATTTAAACAATATTTCTCATTAATTTTAAGTCACAACAGGTTTTTTTTTTTTTTTTTAAATCCCAGTGTCTCCCAACTTTTGGACCTCATTGTGTGCCCAGCTGTATTTTGCCTGTTCATCATCAGTGATAGAATATAGTTCATTAGTTCAAAAGAAGAACTGTGTTTTTACATAAATTGTTACAGTGACTTACAGTTTCCAAACTTCAATGAAACTTCAGCGCTGGATTTCTGACGTCACTCACCGTGACCACATCGGTGAAACTTCACACAATACCTTCAGAATTTCCTCTACTTCTTTCACTAAAATCTGTAAATAAGCTATTTTAAAACTATTGTTATTTCTGTTTTTTTGGGTTAAGACTGCTTCAGAGCGACTCGCGTCCAGAGCAGATAAAAATTCAATAAGAGAGCGGTGGAGGACGTTCTGTAATTACCATTAGTTCTGTGCAGAAGCCGTAATGGAGTGTTTTATCATGGTGGGACAGCTTCAGCATTGTTCATTATTTAGTGTTTGCTGAGCTGATGGGACCGTCGCCGACGGAAACCCTTATCTCTGTAACCCCCCCCCCCAAATTGGGTTTATATTATGGAGACCCAGTCAGGTATGTTCATATGCTAAAGATGGTGCTTGGATGGATGTGAGATCTTCAGTACATTCAGATTAAATATTAGAGAAGCTATGTTAGTGTATGTGAATGCTGTTAATTAAAAACTGAATATAGCAACAGTTCACAGATAATGCAACATTTCCATTCCATTTCTCATAAATTGGCCACTATGGCTTTTTTACTAAAGAGAATGCATTACTTGCAGTTTAGAGCGAGCAGATAAAACACTTTTGCTAGCGATTGGTGGTAGATGCCTTATGTCTGGAGCGACAACGTGTCAGACTTTTCTTGAAGGTAATTTTGATAACAGGCTTTTGCTCCGGCATTTCAGAATGAATTTGAGATGTTATGAGATGTTACTTGCTTTTCTGAACAAATTATTTGTTCACATGACTTCAATCTATGTTTATTCTACTTACTGAATAAATGTACCCTGATTGCTGAATAAAAATGTATTTTTTACATCCCAAAATGCACACAAAATTATGTGGATGGCAACCTGGCAATGGTCAGATTCCAACTCTAACATCACTCCTCTCTTTCCGGTTTTAATATCAAATAAAGCAAAAATCATGGGTCAAAACTGTCAATAGTATCAGCAGGAGCAGGAAGACCCAGCAGGGATGGTATAAGGAGAAAGAGACAGACTATTTGTAGAGAACTAAATGGGAAAAACTGCACTGCTCACTATTCTTTCTTCATGTAAATAGGAGCTATACTCGCATAACTAGAAAATATGGCCGCCGAGTGAACTTAAGTTTCCCTAAAGGTACTTTAGCCACAGGTGGAGTTTTATCTCAAGAGCTGTCCTCTGACCATTGCCCTTCTGCCTTAAAACAAAACCTTTTATCACCTTATACCCACATAGGCTAGACAGACAAAACACAAAACTCTTGAAAATTGTTGTCGAAACAACCCTCTTCCTCTTCCAAATCCATCTTCCTATAGCTCTCAGAAGATTCAGCTCTCTCATTCACAGAAACAGACATGGAGCTTTGAGCATTTATAGCCTTTAGTGCCAAAGAAAGAGCAAGTCTTGGGTCAAGCGATCTCTTCGTTTTTGGATTTTTTTAAAGTACCTTTATCGCTAACAGTAAAGGTTTGCTTTCCATCTATTAGCATACTGTGTTTGGATGCACACAGACACACTTTAATTTCTGGAATAGCTTTAACCGAAGACACCTACTCGTTTTTCTGTTCTTTCTCCCTCCTCTCAAGTCCTGTCCTGAAGGCTTAGCCGGCAAGTCATAGCGCTGACACAGTGAGGTCAAAGGTCGCCAGCAGACAGAGCTTGGCGCTCTCCCCATGCAGATGTCACCGCTGTTGCTGCAGCCGAATAATTAACGCTCTGAGCCAATCACATGCATCATTCATGAAGCGTCTGTCTCTCTTTTTATCTCTCGTCGTCTCCCTCTGCCGCAGAGGTCAGATATCTTGTTTATTAGAGCACTGTGTTTAACAGCCGGTGGGAGGTGTGCAGCAAAATGATGCAGTTTTTCAACAGCAGTTTTTGGGCAGAGCTGCTGTGCTTAAACTTCACCTTGACAGCCAGTGGGACGTAGCCGTGAAGAAGGGTATCAGCAAATGATTGATCTCCGCTCTCTCGTTCTCTCTGTGTCTTTATGAGTACCACCCTCTCACAGAAGGCATCGAACAGACACTTAGGCGAGATAGGATTTGAAAATAATTGGACGAGCCCAACACACGCACACGGGCACACATCTACGCAAGCACACAACCTCCGATAAAAGAAATTTAAAAGCCTATAAGTTAAAGGAAGACAGAAGAAGACATTCAGCGAGTCTGTTTGCGACTAAATTGGCGGCCTCATGTGGCGCGGCCTTGATGATACCATTGCGGCAGGATGAGCTCGGAGGCGATGGACAGCAGGCCCCACCTCTCTCTCGCACCCCCAGTGGGGGTCTGGGGCAGGGGGTCCTGGCACAAACAGACTTTCAGCAGAGCAACCATGCTTTGCCACATGCCGCTGCACTCACTCGTTTACTGACAGTTGACGTGTGTATACATGAGCACACATGTGTTAACAAACACACAAATTGGCAACCAGCTCTGCACATGGATGGAATTCACACTAACTGCATAATCTAGGGATGCACCGATAGGATTTTTTGTTGCCGATAACGATTTTAACAATCACTTATTGGCCGATTCCGATACCGATATTTGTCACTTCCTCTCTTATTTGAAATTTTGTCATCAAAATAGATAGTATTTTGATCATGTTTTAAATCAGCAAAGTTCAAAAACACCTGCATTAAATTATACTAGCAGTTTTATTGCTGCATCATCAAATAATTTCTAATGAACCTGGATTGGATCCATTTAACATTCAGCAGGCCTACATAAATACGACAGGACAAAGATACATATTAAATAAACTGTGCTTTTTAGGTAGGTTTAATAGTTTTCAGGTACAGAAATAAAGTAAACAAATGTAAAATAACACTTCACTGTATAAATTAAATACATATTAATCCTTCTTTATTGTAACAGACTTTATTATGATTAATCTTCTAATTTGTTTTTGTATACATTTTAATATTTTTTGTAAGTTTAAATATGTATGAGATCTCCATTA